AAAAATCTTTAAAAATAAATAAATAAATAAATAAATAAATAAATAAATAAATTTTCCGCCTGGAATTCAAAAGCATCAGTAATTTAGCCCTTCTCCCTCATTCAAACCTTTTTTCTAGCTGAACATGCTGTTTCTCTAAATGTGTCCTGCACATTCGCCCTCTGCAATTTTATTCGTGTTGCTCCACCCCCCGGATTGTCCTCCTCTCAGCAGCTGTTCCACACACCCTATCGATGCTTATCAAATTTGACCCAACCTTCAAGGCTCACTTCATATCTCCCATGCAGTTATTCCTAAGGGTCCAAGCCAGAAGGGAGCCTGCTGTTCTGAATTGCTACTGGTCATACTGTTTACACCTGTGCAACATCAGCCACATACACTACCTCATAGCTGAGCTCTCCGTGAACAGTCCCCATGTTCCTGCCTAGATTTGGTTATGTTCCTGAGCAGCCATCCGTTTGCTCTACCCAAAGAAAGGCAGAGGGAGGTGGTGGCAAGAGGGAGGCTTTGAGATTAGACTCTCTGGGTTCGGACAGGGCTATACATGTGCCCTTAGGAAAGTTATTTAACCTCTCTGAGCTCCCTTTCCTCATCTGAAAACTTAGCATCTATCTTACAGGGCTTTTGTAAGACTTAAAGATAATATAGGTGAGCCACAAAAAATTATCACTATGATCATAACACTAATCAATCTAAAACACTTCTTTGGAGAATTATACAGAACAAATAAGATAGTGTAGTGTATGAGACAGAACTTTGTAGACTATAAAATTATTATGTTAATTTTTAATAAGCGAGACTTAGAGTGCATTTTCAGTTTTATATGATATGACCAATATAGACCCCAAAGATGCTCCCACTGATTACCAGCAAGTACATCCTCCAGTAACCAGGCACTTTGGCTTTCAGCATATCTGTACTCAAAAGTGTCAGAATGAATTCACATAAAAGGGGCCAGCCCCGTGGCCGAGTGGTTAAGTTCGCGTACTCCGCTGCAGGCGGCCCAGTGTTTCATTGGTTTGAATCCTGGGCACAGATATGGCACTGCTCATCCAATCACGCTGAGGGAGTGTCCCACATGCCACAACTATAAAGACCAACAATGAAGAATATACAACTATGTGCTGAGGGGCTTTGGGGAGAAAAAGGAAAAACTAAAATCTTTAAAAAAAAAAAAAGAATGAATTCACATAAAAGCCAACCAATAAAACTCGTTAAATTCCATGCCCTAATGGAGGTTTTGATCCATATGGCACCAAACACTAGTTCAACCTAACACCTCTATTTTCATCCATTTTTTTTTTTTTTTTGGCATCTTGTACACACAGCATTGCTGTTACCACTGCTCAAGCCCTGAGAAATGCCACCAAAGGCACGAGTGAATGCAGCAAGGTGCCCGCCAACATCGCAGCCCCCATCTCAAGCCAGCTGAGTAAACCTCCCAGCCCCATATTCAATTCTTAGGTTTCTAGACAATATTTCCTGCTCCTTATTCTGCCAGGGCCATTCAGGAGAAAGCAAACGCCACTGCAGAGCCACTCACTCTGCAGCCACCAGGGGGTCCCACAGCATTAGCTAGGAAGCAAGGACACACCCTCTCCCAGGACAAATCATGGATCTTAAATATTTCCCAGAGCGCCTCACAGCAGCTTCCTCCAGCTTCCAGCCCGGAAACCCCAGAGGTAGCTGCTGGCTAACACTGTTGAGGTATCAGTTCATAGCAAGCAGCCAGCTTTTCACAAGGGGTTTGAGTCACCAGGGGCCCAAGGAGTCACATTTCTGCAGGTCTGAGCCTTCCCCAGCCACAGTGCCGTATCATCAATGAACACAGACTATCCGCGACTTAAATAACTTTCCCTTTCATACAGCACCCGGAATTTCTGCCTAGATCACACTTGCTCTCAAGTTTTAACAAAGAAAAGGCAACTGCCTGTGAGATGGGCAGACTGCAGTCTCTGATGAGCAGGTCCTGTCTTGCAGAGTTCTCCCCCTACACCAAGCAATCTTGGGGTTCACACAACCGGTGTTCTGTTCTGGCCCCATGACTTAACTCAAGGTACACAGTCTTATTTTCTTCCTCCTTGGAAGAGACCTGGGAAATCAGGGTCCCTTGTGACTAGAAAATGGAAGAGAGGGGCTAAAATTTCCAGTTTCTCTTGGTCGGTCACCCAACCCACAAGATAAGCAGATCCACAAACTTAAGGCTGATTTTCATTACAATTTTGTTTGTCTCTTTTTTGAGAGTTTATTAAGAGGCTGGACATATTCAGGAAAATATTTTAAAATAATTTAAAGACCTTGAGGGGTAGGCTCTTACCTTCAGGATGGCTGCATGTAAGTCACTTCACATACCCCCCTCCCCCCTCCAATAACCTACTCCCCAGGACTGGAATTTGAAACCTGTTTTACAGATGAGGAAACAGAAGGCACATTTACCTGCCTATGGCACACAGCAGTCAGGCAGCAGAGCCAGGAGTCAACACAGGCCTGTCTGGCTCCACCCCTCCTCCACTTATTTATAACAATGATAGTTAACAGGAGTGGGGCACGTACTATGTGCCAGGCACTCTGCTGAGTATTTACATGCATTTTCTCATCTATATTCACAACATCCCTATGAGGCAGCTACTACTATCAGGTCCATTTCCCAGATGAGAAAACTGAGGTTTGGAAGGTTAGGTGACATGTCCAAGATCACACAGCTAACGGGTGGCAGAGAAAATATGATTCACCCCCAAGCCTGCCCTCTTACCCACTGCAGCCGTACTCTCTCTCCACATCTCGCCACCCTCCCCCCGGGCTCACCATGCTGTGTGGTTTTTCACCACCACACTGGTGGTTTTTCAATTCCCCTCTCAGACCAGGCCCCTCCCACCTCCAGCCTCTGCACGTGCTTTCCTTCCAACAGGAGAGCTTCCTCCCAGTCCTTCCTTTATTTGCAACGCTAGTTCCTCTTCTTCCTCTAAGTCGAGGTTTAATTGTCATCCCTTCAGTGTGGCCTTCCCTGACTTTCTACCTAAAATGCATTCCCATCAATTCTTCTCTGTCTCAGACCCTTGATTTTCCCACCATGGCACTCATTACAATTTACCAAAATTTTTTCATTTAGTTTTGTTTTCCCCTTTACTTGTATTTTCTTTGTCTTTCCCACTAGAATGTAAGGCCCCAGACAGCAGAAATTTGTCCATCTTGGTCATTGACTTCTCCCCAGTACCCAGAATGTGCCAGGTGATAGTAGGCGCTCAGTAAGTATTTGATAGAGTTTAATCATTAGAATTTGCAGAAGAAAGCAGGTGGTTTCCAACCCCAAGCTAAGAGTTCTGTGTTTTAAAAAAAAGTGGGGAGCAGGGGCTACAGGCCGTTAGCTTCTGCTGCTCCAAGAGATAAGAGCACAGCAAGCGCAGCCTCGGAAGAGCTGTCCCAGTGCCCCAGAGGGAAGCCTGCTCAAAGGCATTCACCCACAAATCACACACCAGAGGCCTCGGGCCAGGAACAGGCCTACTTGGCCTTGGTAAAGCTTCTGCTCTGCAGAGTGAGGGATCACACAGAGGCTGGACCTGCTATCCAGAACGTGCTGCCTGCTGGGGCCCAGCCAGATGCCTTCACGGTCATTAGGCGGTTCATTCTATGCCATCGCCCCAGAAGACAGGTGTCTACCCCGGTTTCACCAATAAGGAGACTCAGGTTCAGCGGTGAGATAGCCCAGAGCCACCCAGCTGGTAAGTGGGAGAGTCACTCACTTCCCCTTGAACGTTCTCCAGTCGCTCCTTGTTACCTTCAGAAAGGAGCTCCAAACTCCTTAGCAGATTATCTCAGGTGCCCCAGGAAAGGTACCACGACTCCATACTCATTCCCATCCAAGGCCCCAAGGGACTTCGCACACCCCCATGCAGAACTGGGGGGCAATGCCTGGAAGAGACGCACTACCTCACAATTCCATGATCTCACACTTGCTTTCCCTCCTGTCTGCCCCCACAGAAAGTGGCTAATTCCTACTTGTCCCTTAAGATTCACATAAACAAACCAACAAAAAAAGACAGCCCCTGAGGGGATTGTATCCTAAGAAAATAAACATGTGGGCAAAGATGTTTATTGAAATGTAGTCCTTTCATACATAATTATTATTTATGACAGTGAAAAAACTGGTAACAACCTAAATGTTCAAAACATATGGGTAATGTTTAATAACATATATTGCCCTATTTGGGATGTACTAGTATATCCACACCTGGGGGGTGGTTGTTTTGTTTTGTTTTTTGGATCACCAGCAAAAATAATTGATCAGGCAGCTGTAAATCAGTGGTTCTCAACAGAAGTGCCACGAGGACTACTGTGACTCTTAGTGGGGCTCCATAATTGATGGATAGAGTTTCCTTTTGCTACAACTATAATTCACACCGTGTCTGGGCAGACAGAATGTTGAGCCAGGCTGCACATAGTTTCTGTGTGGTGCAGGGCACAACTCAATACACATCAAGAAACAAAGAAGCTGTATGCATCTGCCAGGAACTGAGAGAACTGTATCTAAGAGACAGTGATCAGAGCAGTAAATCCTTCTACTCAAACAGTGACATGATGCTGAAGCGTGGTCAGTATAACAGTAAAATTACTATACACGCAACTCAGTCCTTTTTTTTTTTCTTTGGAAGATTGGCCCTGAGCTAACATCTGTTGCCAATCTTCCTCTTTTCTTTCTCTCCCCAAAGCCCCAGTACATAGTTGTACATCCTAGCTGTAAGTCTATCTCGTTCTTCTATGTGAGATGCTACCACCACATGGCTTGATGAGGGGTGTGTAGGCCCACTCCCAGGATCCAAATCGGTGAACCCTGGGCCACTGAAGCAGAGCATGTGAACTTAACCATTATGCCACTGGGCCAGCCTCCAACTCAGTCCTTTTGAATGTGCTGCCAAAAATACTAGCACTCAAAAGAATGCCATTCTATTCATTAGAGTTATGCTGTAACAAATTAACCCCCAAATTCTGGGGTTCTTTCTCACCCACATAACTAGTCCAATGCAGGTGTTGCCGGTAAGCTGGTGGTTTTCCTCCACTTGGTGATTCAGGGACCCAGGCTCCTTCCAACTGTGGCCCTTCCACTTCTAGAGCCTCAGAGTCCAGCACATGGAAAGAAAGAATGCAGAAAAGTCACCTCTTAACCACACTGGCTTGCAAGTGACACATCACTTCCATTTCCATTCTGTTGGTGACCAGTGACAGTCCTACCTAGGGACAAGAGGTGCCAGGAACATAACCCCTGGCTCAGCAACCACTTCTCAGCAACACCTCTAAACTATGACAGGAAGAACACACGTTTCTGATGAACAACCCACCCTCTTTGCTACAGTCACAAACCCAAAACAGTTGAGAACCATTGAGTAACAGGTTTTGTTTCCACGTGGAGAAGTGGGAAAATACCCAATAGTGCCTCATTAGTAAAACAATGCCTCCTGCTCCCAGCCTTTTGTACACTGAACATGTCACAGGCCTAGGGGCGATCTTGAACATTGCCTCCTGTTCAGTCCAGGGACCATACTGGCTCAGGCCTCTGTTCCCATTCCTTTGATGGTCATTCAGTCTGCTCCTCTCTATACAACTCCTCTTCACGCCCTGCCACCTCAACCTCCTTGCTGGTCAGCTCTGGCTCAGGTGCTGGTCCCGAGTCCAATCAGTTGTCACTAGGGAAACAGAGCTGGCTCTACCATATGCTTGTGGTTTACAAGGCATAGCTACTTTCCAGAGAAAGAATTGCCTGGGACCACTTCTCCTAAAGAGAGATTATTGGCACGGCAGGTCCTTAGAGCTTTATTGACCTACCAGTACATAGAGTTGTAAAAAGCCACAAGAGGGCAGGGATAGTGTCCATCCTGCTGACGATTTCACCACTGTATCCACAGCACTTAGCACAGTGTTTCAGAAACCTAGTCCCTTCCATCTTGTGGAGCTGCAGCCACTAGGGCCTCAGAGGCCTCAGAGTCTGGCCGGCAAGCTGGAGAAGAGAGTAGAGAAGCCACAGTGTAGCTGAATAGTTACCTGTTGAATGAAAAAAAAATAATAATAATGAATAAATGAATGAACACTCGTTCTTGCTACTAATGATAGAAAATAGTAAAGATAAAAGTATTACAGGACAAAGATAGAATACTGTACGTAACTTTACAGTCAGTGTGATCACAACTTAGGAGTCTTGCATCAAAAGCAAAAAGAATGAATTTACTTATTTTTAACAATTTTGAGCACTTCCTAGCCCTTTCACTAAATAACTACCACCCGGCCCACCAATGGATTTAACAGCAGTTGTCACTGTGGCTATTGTTTGCCAATTCTGGCTGATGCCTGACAACTCCAAGGAGAAATGGATATACCCCTTGGGGGTAGAGAAGGCTTCTGAGTACTTCCTTCCTATCGCACTGCAGCTGGAACTTCTCCTTTGGTGCCTACTTTTTTAGTGGACCAATTTTATGTTTGGTGAAAGGTGAGAGAGACAGCCTGGATCCAGATCCACTGTCTCAACTCATTTTTCCTGAATTCTCTTTAGGGATCAAATTGGAGAATGCCCTCCAGGTTCAATTTTCAAAATAACACTTTTTCCCCAAATCCCCAAATTATGTAAATATATGTTATATATGCATGAAAAGACTTAGAAGGAAAGACATAAAAGTGTTTATCTTTGGTTCATGGGTTTACAAATAATTGTATTTTCTTTTTTATACAATGCTATATTTTCCAAAGCTTCTACAATAAGAATGTAAGCTTTTTTACAATCAGATTTAAAAGTCACGATGTGATTGTTATTTTTAACAATCGAACGTCACCTCCTCCAGGAATTGTTCTGTGACCACTCCCAGGGGACTTGCAGGCCCCTTCTCCATGGTCTCATAGTGCCCCATAGTGTCCTCTACCATTCACGCTGGATTTGAATTGTTTACTTATCTTTCTCCCAACAAGACTTGAAGCTCTTTGAAGGAAGGGACTGAGTCTTCAATCTCTGAATCCCCAGGGCCCAGCACATACACTAAGCATTCCTAAAGGTTTATGAGTCAAATGAAATCAAATAAGTAGGAGTATACAAACTCAGGTGTTGTCACTCTAAAACAGTGCATCTTCCCTGAGACTAAAGGGATCCAGGATTTTTCCCCACTCTTGACGGTCACCCGGGGCCTGGGAAGAACTTGGGAAGCATACGGGAAGATTGTGAAGAACTGCCCCCCTTAACAGTCAGCACCAGGGTTGCAGGAACTCGGCAGGAGTGAGAGCTAAAATGCGCCGAGTTGGGTTCTCCTGGCAAGAGCCAAGATTAGTCACATGGTGGCACTTGGAGGATTCCCTAGTCTGCTCATTCCTTTGGGATCCCTCACTCCTCCCAGGACCTCCCCTGGGAACAAAGGAAAACACAGGACTTGGGACTCAGCCCGTTTCCACCAACAGCTGCTAGTAGTTTGCATTTAACCCTAAACCACAATTAAATGTCAAGGCGGAAAGGGGAATACCATCCGCTAGGAAACACTTGGGTTTTCTCTAAATTTCTTCCAGAAATTTCTTCTAAAGGGCTTTGAGGACCAAACAGGCCAATTACGGACAGAAAGAAGGAGAGTTTGAAACAAGTTTTAACAGTATCAACCACAACTGAAGCTGACCTTTCGACCAAGCGAAGCCGTACACAAGAAGAGGGGTAAATCCTTGGTCAACAAAGGGTTTGTAACGCCCTCCCTCGAGCAGGCGAGCCGCACAGCACCCTCCCTCCCCTACCCCCGCGGGCCAGGCGGCGGCAAGGACCTCAGCTGATTCCAGATGACCACGGAACCGGGGCGCAGGCGGCGAGCCCCTCCGGACCGACCTCCTAGGGCCTCATCTGAGAACAACCCAGTCTGACGCCCTCGCGGTCGTTAGGCCTGCACGTGCTCCGCCCTGCAGTGTCATCTAGAAAATAGAAATTCCTAGACCTGGAGGAAGAACCGCTTACATCTGGTTCTGGGCCAGCGGGCTGGATTCTTTGATTTCCACACTCACTCGCTTTCTAAAACCCGAGGGGAAGGGCACGGCCGAGGGTGCGGAGGGATGTCCTGAACTATTCGAGAGCATTCCAGTAGGAAGAGAGGTTTACAGCACGTCCCGTAAAGCTCTCACTAGGGCGGGTGCAGTCCAGGAGCGAGGCTCCTCTGCACAGCCTCACAGAGAGAAGGGTGTGCGCGCCGCGCCCGGGGTGGGGGTGGGGGCAGGAAGAGGAGGAGGAGAAGGGGTGGGGTGAGCCGAGGCCCCGACACCAGCCCAGGCTCCTCCCGCCTCCCCCACCCCCACGTACTAAGGCGCCCAGCCCGCCGCGCGTTGCTCACTGGCCGCGCGTCCCAGCCGCCGAGCGTCCCCCCCCCCCCCGCGCCTCCGGCCAAGGTGAGTTCTGCCCGCCGCTCCCGGGCTGTCTCCAGCCTCGACCTGGCGCCTGGGGGACCCCACATCGGCTGCTCTGGCCCACCGGGCCGGGCTTCGCGGCGTGTCCCGGGTGCCGGGGGTCCTGGGCGGAGAGCGGCCGAAGGTATCCGCTGCTCCGCACTCTGGGCCGCATCCAGGCGAGGCGAGCAGCGCCCGTGGCTGGCCCGGTGCGACCCCTCCCCAGAACCCTTCGGACGGGAGGAGGGGAATACTTGTCCTTTCCTGCAGGACCTCGGGGTGGGTGCCCCGCGGTCTGCTCTCGCCTCCCTGTTTAATTTTGTTTACTCCCACTTTCCTACTTTTCGATTAGTCTCCCGAGTCATCCGAAGCCCTGCTTCTCGCCCCCTGTCCTGGCCGGCATGTTGCTTTGTGGGCTCTGGCTGCAGGCTGACCTCCGCCCAGAGGTTCCTAGCCTCCTAGCTGGGCGGCCGAGCACGGGGAGGGCTGGGCGGGTTGGCAGCTGGCAGATTCCCTCCCTAAAGGACACTCCTTAGTCCCTCGCCCACATGCTCCAGGTGGGGCTTCCTGTTGTTTGTCTGCTAGAAAGGCAGGTTCTTACTGCCGAGGAGGGGGAGGTCTATTTGTTTTCTTTATAAAGCAATTTTGCTTGGGGGCATTGGGGGAAAGGGGACTCTGTGATTTCTCTACTGAAAGGGTTTCCTTCTTGCTGTCTTAATTAAATTAGCGGAACTAGAAAGAGGGAAGAGCAGGCTTGATGAAGGATCTTCCAGCCTAGATTAAACTGGCCCAGTGCAATGAGACAGAGATAGACGTGCCGTTGGTACCTGGTCACAACTTGAGCTTGGCTAAAGGAATGGCGCTGCCTGCAGCCCTGAATACTGCGCTCTCCAGCCTCAACCGGGCTCCACCCAACTGAAACCGGGATGCTGCCATGTTGAGTGGGGGTGGTGAGGAAAGCAGAGCCGCTGTGAGCCAGCACCACGAGCCCTAGGCCAGACTCTGGAATACATTAAGCCCACCCCCTTCCCGCCCTTGGGGAGCTGGGAGTATTCTGCAGGGCGTGGTTAGCACAAAGGGTTCCACAAAGGGCTCCCCGATTCTCCTAGTGGAGGCCTGTGACTCAGCTGTGAGACCATGTGGGTGTGGCCCTGACGGTTCCAGATTCTCTCTGCAGATGGTTGGCCGGAATACTCCCTAAAGGAAAAGGGGAACCCTGCCATCTTAGAGGGCATTTTCCAAGAGGAAGTGAGTCACACCAGAACTGGCCTGCAGGCTGAAGGAGAGGTATCTGGACTGAGCTGTGGGTGCGGGCAGCTGTTAGACGGGCAGGGCCATGGTGAGACCGCTGCTGGGTTATCAGCCTGTACGCCTGCTGGCAGGATGCCTCAGCTTTACTTCGAGGTTGCTTTTCCGTTAAGAGGTTTGTGTTGCTGCAGATCCCCCCCTCGCAGCTTGAGTTTCACCCAAGTGGATTTTTATATCCTGCACTTCAGGTGAGGCCAGGCTCATGGAAACACCCTGTCAGTGATCTTTGCCTCCAACGTGTTTCAGCAAATTGCAAAAGATAATGCCGGGCATTGGGGCAGGAATGAGTTCATATAACTCATTTGAAATTTCTTCATCAGCTCTGCCCGCACAGATTCTTACCCAGTTTCTGTTTAATCATCTCTTCTCCATAGTATATGCCTTCCTTGATAGCCAGAGGCTACTTTCTTCATCGTGGTCCTTGATCCACCAGACGGAGTTTCTTATTTGAGTTCTTCACATTTTCCTGAGGGTCTGCTAGGCATAAAGCATCTTGATTTCTAGTTGATGCTCTTCCCTGGCGTTTCCTACATACAACATCTGATAGGCCCTTTTCTCCCATATCGGGACCCGGACCAGCCCCTCAAGCAGCTACCCAGTGGACTGAGTGGAGCTGAGTCTGCTTTCCACTGACAGTTCGAAAAATGTGACTTTTTTAGAGCACTGCCCACTTGGTATGGCCTTGGTCACAGTCCAGTCTGTTAAAGTTGAGGGAACAATGGAATTCTTTCAGGGTTATAATATATAAATTAGCACTCAGAGTGCTGGGAAAGCAGGACTGAAGTTTTGGGATCTTTCTTAAGCTTCTTATTTTCCTAGGGACTCGACAATTTAGGAATCTCACATCAAAAGCAACTCCAAGGGAAAATGGATATACTCCACTGGGATAGAGGTGGCTTCTGAGGTTTTTTTCCTATTGGATTGTATCTGTAACTTTTCCTCTGCTGCCCACTTTTTTAGTGGGCAAATTTTATGTTTGGTGAAAGGTGGGGGAGACAACCTGGATCCAGACCCACTGCTTCAACTCATTTTCTCTGAATTCCCTTTAGGGATCAAATTCAGGAATGCCTTCTGGGTTCAATTTTCCCCTCCGAAAAAATGTTTTTTTCTTCTTAAAATCCCCAAAGCAAAGGAAGGAAACCTCAAACACATTTTAAATAACAGATGTTTGTTTTTACTGACACCCTGCCAATTATTTTCTGGGTGGGCTGTAAGAAAACGAGGGTATGGACAAGACACAGAAGAGCAAAGTAAATCAGACCTCGTGCTCTTTAGAAGTGTCCTTTTTGAAATTACGGCCTGGATCTGGGCATGGGTCCAGAGCAACATTTGGGATTGCTCAGGAGCAGGGCTTCTCTAAGGAGGCCTCCTGCTTCCCTGCTGCTCCCAGGAGGATCCAAGTTTACATCCTTGTCAATTTCATCGTTACCCATTCATTGAGCAGGCGCTATAAGGGCAGTGCACCAGCTACTGGGACCCTGCTCAAGGAGCCCACCATCTAGTGGGGAAAAAAACAGAAACAGATTAACTAGAATTCAGGACATATTTTTAAACAGTGTTCCATTAGCTGGTGAACTCCCCAAAGGCAGGCACCGTGGAGTGTGTGTGTGTGCGTGGGCGTGTGCACCTCGCGCACTTGTGCCTAACGCCGTGACGAGGTCGTGCAAAGTAGTTGCTCCCTGTAGGAGAACCAAAAATGGAAAATTGAATTCCCACCAGTGTGTCTCAATTTGTGGAGTCCGGAATTCTTTTCTGTAGGGAAAACTACACAGAGAAAAACTATGGACTTCTGAGCATCCACTCTTAAGACTATTGCCCAGGCAAACATATATAGGGGATTTGCAGATATGAGAGTAAAATGATTCAATGAAAGATGAGTGAACAAGGAGGTAGTTACATTCTGTGGAGCTCCTAGTGAGGGAGCAGAGCTAGAGAAGCATGCAGTAGAAAGTGGGATGAACCTAAACACGAGAAAACAATGAGTGAGAAGAGAAAGAGAGAGGTCATGTCAGGGTCTAACCAGACCTGTTTAGCAGGACACATACTTTTTCCTCTGCTTGTGGAATGTGCTTTCCTCTGTACTCCGCTGTTCCATTCACAGGTGGGCAGCCCCTTTCCTGGCCCTTCCCAGCTCTCACGTCCTCCCGCTGAGCTCTGAGCCACAAGGCTTTCAGCCCAGAAGCCTTGTGCCTGGGTAATCACACCTGCACTCAGCTTCTGCCAAGGAGATTGATTCATTCATTCACTCCTTTAGCAGACACTTATTCAGTGGTTCATGGGTAAAACAGAATAATTCAGTTATTGACCTAGAGAAGCTTTAGTCTAAGACAGACAGACAGGTAAATGATTAAATGGATCGAGTGTTTCAGATGCAGAGAGGACCCTGCTGCCTCTCAGCCCCGCACCCAAGACCCTCCAAAGGTTCTCCCACCTGTGGATGCCAAGAGTGGAGCGAGTCGGATGGCGGGGGGGATGGTAATGCGAGGTTCAAGTCCCTGAACTGTTGCTTTAGCAGCCAACGGTCAGCGCTGCCATCGGCCTGGGCAGGCCCCGCCCTACACAGGAGGGCCAGGCAGGGCTGACTCAGTGGGGCAACCGCTGCACCTGGAGGAGAGCTGTGTGATTCAGCCACTAGCCAAGAGAACTGCTTTAATCACATTTTCCCCCTTTTCCTTCATCTTACTTTAAAACCAGCGCACTGGCTCCTCCTTCAAACCAGAATAACTTGCTCATAGCCCTGGTCAGTGACTTCTGGGGCCCTGGTCGCTGATGAGATGGCAGACATCTCCTCTGGTTTGCAACGCTGTTTTCACCTTCACAACTTAGATCTCCTGGCTACCCCTGTTCTGCATTCTTATTGCAAAAGGTCTACCAGACAAATAGGGAGTCAGCTGGCTGCTGTATTCACAACCCACTTGCTGAATAAAACAGCAGGGGGGAGGAGAGGAGGAACCAGTAGGGCAGGGATGTGGCTTCAGAGAGGAAAGCTGGACGTGGGGGGGTGGGACCAGAGTGGCCTGAGACCTGAGCTCTCCCTCAGGGAAGACCGGCCTCACTCTCCTGAAGAAGATATTCAAGAGTGGCAGGATTTCCTCGGCTTACAACTTGTGTTTCTTAGGCTTTCCTAAATGAGGCTATTTTCCTATTTTAGGGGTCCTCACCCCACTGCATTCCCTTCCTTGCTTCTCTGGCTCTGCAGTGCACTTTCCTTCTGCTCTGCTCTGTGAAGAAAGCGAACTAGTGGTCCCACAGCCAGTTCCAGTTTCTGGGATCTTGGGAATTGGTGGTGAAGTGCTCCGCCACTCTGAGCTTGGGCACAGGTGTTTGTAAACCTCTGTGGCCCTTTCCTGAGTTATTTCAGAACTGGGGTGGGAGTCCACATCCTTCTCCCCTCGGCAACTGACTCAGTTCAATTCTCTTAAGTTGCGGGACTTCCAGAACCAATCCAGGCAATGCTGACTCCCTCTAAGCCCACTGCCATCTGAAACCATCTGGGGGACGGGGGACAAGCCTGATGCCAGCTGTGTAGGAAGAGAGGGGAAAGGGCGTGGTTCCCCTGGAATTCCTCTCACAGTGGATCTTGAAGCATTAATTTGCTGCTCTCTCCAAGAGAACTGCCTTCCAGATAAATCATGCCAGGTTCTGGTTTATAGCATCTCTAGAGTAGCACATTCTTTGGCATGCTGGTTCCTGTACTTTTCTGAGGATTAAGGGGTGGAATTTACTATGCTTAAGTGTAATTGCTCAGTCCTCGTGTTCACCAACTCCACCTTCTCCTCTGTGAAAGATAGCTTTTAAGGATCCGTGTTGAACACACATCTGTCAGCTGCAGGAAGCAGACTGAAAGCATGTCTCGGGTTCCTGTTGGCAGTCTTCAGCAGGGGAAGGTGCCAGCCTCTCCTTCGACCTGTGCTCAAAACCTATTCTTGTGAATGTTTTTTTTTGGAGTGGTGTATTACAGTCTCCATTCAAGTTCACCTGTTTCCTATCCAGTAGTGATTTTAGGTGATGTTAGCCAAAGCTACCCTGTTCTGGCCAAAGCACACCTTCCAATTAAGCCAAAAATCCATTGAGCTCCTATTGAGTACCAGGCACTGGGTCTTGATGAGACATATGCCCTCAGATCATTATCCCTGAATATAACGATCTGACATGATTCCTCTCCTTTCTTTCAAACTCTTCATAGGAAAAGCTTTTGCTCTCCCACCGCACCCCAGACTGTGAGAGTAGCCTTTCTGCCTAGTACTGCCAAAAATTTATCAGGTCCCCAAAGGACGTAGGATATACTGTTACTGTTTCCTTCTCAAGGAACTAGATAATGGGCTTTGAGTGGCTTTTATTTGGGTAGGGCAATTGCATTTTACTAACAAAGATGCAAATATCTTTGTTGCAATCAATAACAAATTAAGAACTTTAGTAAAGAATACATACTCCAGCAGACAAAATTCATTTCTAAGCAGATTTCTAAACCCTAGAATTAGACTGAACCACGTTACCTAGTTAAGCTTGGCGAGTTGAAGTTTTCATATTAACCAGGCTTGACTGTGTGAGTTGTTGGTAGTCAGCCATATGTGAGTCCCATTTACCAGCACCAAGAGAAATGATGAAACATCTGTTCTTTCAGCTTTGTCAGTTAAAAAGTGGGACACTGATCTTGCCTTTCCAAATAATTGGAGTTTCTATTGTTCATTAGGTGATTTATGTAGAATTAGTGGGCAACTAGACAAAGCCCTCATTCCGAGGACCAGTACCTGAGGTGCCTGTTTCCATCAGCAGGAGGCCCAAAACCTGGGGTGAACTGGTCCTTAGATTCACTGAATTTTAGAGCTGGAAAGGATCAAATGGATGATCTAATCATACTCCTTCCAATTTTTTCTCATAAGACTGGCCATACTCATGGGTTAAAAATTAATGTAAACTCTGTTTCTTTATATCCTTTAATAGGTTTCAACAAACCTCACCAAAATGCCATCTCAAATGGAACACGCCATGGAAACAATGATGTTCACATTTCACAAATTTGCTGGGGATAAAGGCTACTTAACAAAGGAAGACCTGAGAGTACTCATGGAAAAGGAGTTCCCCGGATTTTTGGAAGTAAGTGTTGAAAGGCTCAGAAAGATCCAGACCTAAAATTCAGTGCTTCTAGGCCTTGGTTCCTTTCCCAGCTGTTTTCCATCCCTTCCCTGTGGAGGTCACTGTGAGAAAGGTGTTTTCATTCATTTATTTATTGAAGATTATTGAGTGCCTACTGTTTGTAAAATATCGTAGGGGAAGCAGAAGGTAAAGAGGACACAGCCCCTGCCCTCACGCAGCTTACAATTTGGAGATAAAATAAGACTACACACAAATAACCACAATTTGAGGTGTGTGTTAGGAAGATTCCATCTGGATCATCTGTGTCCCCTGAACCAGAGTTGTAGGAAAGAAGGCCTTTCACCAGAAAGTCATCAACCAGCCTGCCTGGTTGCCCTCAAGTCCGTAAACCTGGTGTCGGGGATGCCACATCCTGGGCACATCGACTTTGAGCAACTTGAATCTCCCTTCTTAGATCCTTTCAGATGAAGGTTTTTAAAAATCTTTTCTAATTCTAATCTGAAGGGATGGTGTCAAGCATCTGCTGAATGAGAGCCAAGCGTCCTTCCAGAAATAACTGCTTTTCACATTGAAAATGCTATGAGAACCAGGAGCACAGCTTGTGTTTATGACTCCCCGTTGACAGACTGAGGGATCTGTGAGGACTAGAAGAGAACTCTGCCATCAGCTCAGATACACCACTCAGGACATTAGGCGACAAGGCACAGTTGTCCTTTTACCTGTAGGCCGTCAAGAGATGGTCGTTGCGTTTCACCAGAGGTGAAACATTGCTTGACAAAATATTAGATTGATACGCAAGCCCTTCTTTCCCACCCCAGCTGGAGTCTCTTGAAAGGATCATTACTGTGCTTGGTATGGAATAAGCGTTAGCCTCTGAAGGGTGAAGGGAGGGTAAAACGCTGGGTCTTGTCTCTTGTCATCTGCCTGGTAAGAGCACATCAGTCAAGCTCCTAACTCCTGACTCAGTAAACATGGGGTTTGTAGTACTATGATTGACATGTCACCAATACCAGTTAAGTAAACAGATATAAATAGCCTAACTAGTCTCTCAGAGCTGCAGTCACCACAATGCTATCCCAGAATGAGTTAGAATATAGCACTGCTCTGCTTTTGTACGGTCCTATGATATAGCCCCAGACCAGGAGTTAGAAGCTCTGGCTCTGTCCTCACTAACACTCTGCAGGTTGCTTTAGCTTTTAGGGCCTCAGTTCCCTCCTCTGTAAAATGAGAGGGCTGGACATGGTTATCTCCAAGTCACTTTCACTTTCTGTGATCCTTCCAGGCAAGGACAAAATGTGCTCATTGTAAGCCTGCCCGGCACATGAACAAAGGTGGTCTTGGTATACTAAATACTCATTAATTGTGTTGTTGCATAAGTTGGAAGCTGGGATGATGAATATCACATGAAACATAGACCCTTCCTCCCTAAAGGCTTTGTGGCTTGAGAAACATAAACGGTGTCTGTAGCACGGAGTACTGAACATAGCAGTGTAATTTATTCCAGGCCTGGAGGCGTAATTCCAGGCACACCCATACTCACTGCATTGACAGAGCGTTTTGTTTCTGAAGTTGACCCCTTCTGTCTTCCAAATTTGACTCCTTCTGACCACAGCCAGGAAGCTGGGGGTGAGGCCAGAATTAACCGAAGCCCACCAAAAGCGGCCGTAGCTGCGTAGAGCAGGTTTTAGTTGATTGCCGAGGGTAGGAATTTGCAGTCTTCATGTAGAAAATGCTGCTGCTTTACCTTAAGGGATTTCTGAGTGCAATTTGTAAACATCCAGCACACCTGAGACACTCTCAGTTCCCTCACTCATGCATACAATCAATGGAATTCATAAATACTTTACATGAGCCCTTTAACACCTCTAAAGGGCCATATTTCCCTCTCTGGTTGATGGCATGGACCCTATAGAAGCCACACATTCCCACTTCTAACCACCATCACTAGGAAAAGGAGTGATCAAGCCAATCACCGTGGAAGCAGGATGAAAGAAAAAGCAAGGGGGTCTTGCCTGCCTGCCTCGGTTCCACACATTCATACCAGACACTGAGAGTCATGGGGGTTTATGACTCCGTTACACATGCTGCTTTCGAAGCCCATCTGGTGTAAAGCATCCAGTGGAGAAGAGGGTAGGATGGCACAGATTTACCAACTCATGAAGAGTGGAAGCAATCTTAGACACATTCTACAGTCCGTCACGTGAACAGTTCATAGTTGACACCAAGGCCCACCAAGCTGTGTGACTTACTCAAGGTCACATGGCTAATATAACATGAAGCCACACTAGCTTGGCCTCGGCTGTGCCAAGAAATGAGGAGAAATGAGGGTCGTCTGTCCATCCTCTCCAAACCCAACACACCCCATGGCATCATTAGCACCTCTTTAAAATCCATAGGACGATGATGTAATTTACTCCCTAAATAATCTTATGAGATCTTTTCATAAGGAATTTCCTTTTGAAGGGATTTGACCATGCTACCAGGAATAAATTTTGTTAAGAGAATGAAAGCTTCAACTACAAAATGGGGAATTTAGGGTGGTTCTTTGGCAGAACCTTGTGATTCTGAGAATTGTGGAAACGGTTGAACTGGACGCAAAGCAGGTCAGAAAGCCATGCTGGGTTCAAAGTGGCAAGACCAATGGGCTGAGAATGAGGAGGCCTGGGTCTACCTTCTCTGGCACAAAATCTTAATAGGATGTTTCCAGTGTCCCTGGTTACATGAAGGAATGCCTTGGAAGCCTCTTTGCTACTTAAAATAAATATGAATTTAGTGAAATGCTCCCTCAAGGAAGAAAAGTACATTTAGGGGACTTCCAAAGGTCACTTATGACCTAAAACAAGTTTAAATAATTGGGAGATTATATGCATGGTTGTCAGAAGTACAAATCAGAGAAGCTCTTCATTGCAACCATTGACTGATAATTCTTGCCTTTGTTCTTTTTTTCAGAATCAAAAAGACCCTCTGGCCGTGGACAAGATAATGAAGGACCTGGACCAGTGCCGAGACGGCAAAGTGGGCTTCCAGAGCTTCTTTTCGCTAATTGCCGGGCTCACCATCGCATGCAATGACTATTTTGTAGTACACATGAAGCAGAAGGGAAGAAAGTAGGCAGCATTGAGCAATTCCTCCCACCCTGAGAGGAGCTCTCCCAAAGGGTCGCTTAAGGAATCTGCCCCACAGCTTCCCCCTGTATAAGGATTTCCTGAGCAGATCGAGACCCTTAGAAAATGTACAAATAATGTCCCGTTCGACAAGCAGAGAAAGAAAAGTCAGTTAAAGCCGGATAAGCTTTTGATTTTTGTATTGCTTGCATCCTCTTGCCCTCAATAAACAAATTCTTTTTTTAGTTCCTAATTTGAGACAGAATGTTTGTTCCTTCTTCAGAAATACTTGTTGCCTGCTTCATTTCACCAAAAGCCCACACACCCTTGGGCAGCCAGCCCACCGCAGAGCTCTTTCCACAGAACTGGCAAAATGGCAAAGCACGCTGCATTCAGGCCCTGAGTCTAACTTCTCTAATTGATCTGCCTTTGTAGCTGTGTCTAGCCGAAGGGCCAAAACCCCAAGGATTAAGAGAAAGCACTTCAGGAACATATTCTAACTTTATAATTGCTGAGCACGGTCTTGCCCAGTTGAATCAGTGCCTTTCCAACCAGCACTTTGGATGTCTGAGATGTCTGAGTCCATTTTTCATAGCAAAGTTTCAGCAAACTGGGGTAAAAATGAGTCCATATGAGAACTAATCAAAAGAAAGGAGAGTCTAGTGTGACACAACAGTAATAACATCACGTTAACATTTATTGAGTTGTCATGAGATGTCATGGTTGTAGTGGGGTGTCAGGAAAGAGGCTAGTGTGACTTAGATAAGGACTAGTACTTTTTTGCTGCAAATTGAGTGCCAGAACCGGTCTTAACACGTAGCGAAATGTTTCTCCCAGATCTTTCTGTGCCTGTTATAAGCATCAGCATATATGCATTACATACTATATGCTTATTAACAACACAATACTCTGTTTTTAGGGAGAGATGATGTATGAATTGGCACACGAAATTGTTCTAATTAAATAGGTCAACGAAGATGGAAACATTTATTTTTATGATTGGACACATCAACATAACTCTGGGAAAAAGTTTAACAAAGTCATCTACCATCACAAGGAAAAGCATGCGAAAGGAGTAGGATAGTCCAGAACTAGCTTTGGGGAAAAGAAATCTAATAAAATCAAGGTCAAAGATAAAATTCCAACATTTTATTGTTTCCTGGCTGACAAATGAGCGAGGTAAGATAACTCTCAGCTTTGCAGCTATAGGATTACATTGGAAGTTTACAGAGAGGGCTTTATTAAAGATAAATTTATTAAAGATATTAAGTAGAAGGGGGGAGTTGCTAGTTATAGAAACTGACTACAGGAATGACTCCCAAATCCATGCCATAGAACTGGGCCACCAAGGGAGCTGCTGGCCTGGGAAGCTGCCTGCTGAACTGGGAAGCCATTGCTACGGCTGGCAGCTCCAGAACCACACAACCCAGGGCACAGTCCATCCTAGCAAATACGGGCACCCATTGGCCTGCCTCTTTCCACATGGATCTTGGCTCCCACATCCAAGTCTCAAGGAAGTACATCTAAATAGCAGAACTTCAATTGCATCAAAACCCTAACCTTAAGGGAGTCTGGGAAATAAAGTTTTACATTTTCCAACCTCTGCACACTAGGAGGTGACATGCTGATCTACCATATCTGCCACAGCGACAACTCACAATTCTAAGAGAAGTTGTCCAATGTAAAGGTTAAAGAAACTACGGCTCTAAGGAAAGGAGGTTCTAAAAGATAACTGCTTTGATAGCTACAGGGAATAGAGAAGCAAACTGGTGCGCCACAGGCAAACCATCTCTCTGTCCATGAGAATCTCTATCAGTCCAGATTTACCTCTTTAGTTTACATCTCCTGCCTCCTGGGGCAACAGTGTTTATGTTTACAGGTATGAAATTGGTGTTCACTTCACAAATGGGCAGGTAAAATTGTAACACCGAGAGATATTATTGTGGGCCCAGATGTCCCCAAACCCATAGCAAGCTTTCACAGTCTAACCCTCTCCCTGAAAACAGAAACAGAACTATCCCAGGAGAGAGGGTTCTGGGGGTAAGGGAGAGGAAGTGTCAATTCATCTTCACAGAGAGTATGTAGATTCGAACGAATTCTAAACAATGTGTTATTCCAGAAGATGACCCCAGACTCTGGGGTTCAGAAAGGTGCCCAATGCCAGGGAATCGCCTGGGTCATCGTATTTGTTTGGCGGGGAGAGGTGTGCGTACACACATGTTGGGGCTAGGAGGGGAAGGGGAGAATAACACACTTTCCTCACTTTAGCCCCATTGCTCAAAGTATTTAGTAGGGAGCTAGTACAAGGAAAATAAAAACGCTATTTATAGTTTGAAATCCTCCGTGGGTCTCCATGCCAATGAAAACACATGGATCCCACAATCTGACGTGCTGAAACGGCCATCTAGGTTTCAGGGGCCACAGCCTAATGACTCCCAGAGGGCAACACTACAGTTATGCCAACAGCCATCAAGAGAAGCCATCTGGAAAATTCCACTCATTCTGCTACATGGCTGAGTTGTAAAAGCAGATCCCACCCCTCTCCACACCCAGTTATGAAAGAAGACTGGAGAGCAGTGCAGAAAGTCAGTTCCAAACACGCTGCAGAGCTGACCCTGAAAAACACCTCATTTTGTCTTTTGGACCCATTCCCTTGTCTAAGTCCACTGAACATGAGCCAGTTACCTGTGACTTAATACTTTTCTACCCAGCTCCTCTCAGTGGGAGACCAAAGGCAAGTACACAAACCTCCCTCGAAATTTGACCAATTTGAAAAGTGATTATTTAAGTACCTTCTCCAGCTCTTAACCCCAGAGTGACAGCTGTGAATAGAAATTCTGTAGTTGGCAAATATTAACAAGGGCTCCTATGTGAATGACACCAAGCGAAGTTCTGTGGCAGATATAAAGCAGCAGATGCCCACAGCATCTGCTCAAGGAGATTACAATCTAGGTTGAAGGAGAATAGATAAAGCAGACAAAAAGCTAAATAGCAACACAGCAGAGCACTGGCAAGGCTGAGATGTGAAGGACACCCTTGGTCATTGTTGATAGGATTGTAATTTGTATAACCTTTTGGGGAAGCAAAAGTTGGCAATATTTGCCAGGATCCTTTAATGCATTTTCTTTGATCCAGTATTTCTAGTCTTACGTATTTTTCTTAACAAAGTATTCAAAGATACTTACAAAAATTCGTATATGAAGATATTTGATGCAGCATTTTTTAGATTAGCTAAAACTTGAATACAACCTCAATGTCTGACAATAGGGCTATGGTTAAATAAGTTAAGTAGAGAGGTACACGAGATACTATATAACTCATGAAAACATAACTTTGAAGAATATTAAATAAGATGGGGAAATGTCTCTGTAGCAGGTTGCAAAATTGGTATATAATGGGATTCTTTTCCTTTTTAAATATATGTGTCTGCACACACCCACAGAAAAAGACTAAGGGAAATACACCCAGCTGTGTTTTAGTTTCCAAATTAGGAGTTACCGGGTGGGGAAACTGTTGTGTCAAGGAAGAAGTTTATGGGAGTATTTTAATTTTCCTCTCCATACACTGCTATGTTATCTAAATTTTCTACAATGATTCTACTTTTACAACCTGGAAAACAAAACTCTAAATAATATTTTTTAAAACAGCGTGTGAGGGCCAGCCCAGTGGTGCAGCGGTTAAGTGTGCACATTCTGCTTCAGTGGCCCAGGGTTCGCCAGTTCGGATCTCGGGTACAGACGTGGCACCGCTCACCAAGCCATGCTATGCCAGGCGTCCCACATATAAAGTAGAGGAAGATGGGCACAGATGTTAGCTCAGGGCCAGTCTTCCTCAGCAAATAAGTGGAGGATTTGCAGCAGATGTTAGATCAGGGCTAATCTTCTTAAAAAAAAAAAAAGAAAAAAAGCCAGCGTGTGTATTTATTGAGGATCTACCATGAGTCAGGACCTGTATGAGATACTTCTTAAGCGTTATCTTATTTAGCCCTCACAATAATCCTGTTAAGGTATTACAATATATTTTACAGATGACAAAACTAAGACTCAAGTAACTCCCTCAAATTCCCACAGTAAGTGACAGTGTCAAGATCCGAACTCAGACATTATGTTTCTTTCTATCCTGCAGCTGTCTCAAGGTGCTATTTGAGTAAATTAAGTATCAAACGTGTTGTACTTTCAAAAGAGTAAGAGATGGTTGTGGGCTGGGCAAGATTAGTCAGAGAAGATTTCAGGTGTGAGGTAGGATATTGTCTGGTCTCTGAAGACTAGAAGAAATTCAGATAATAGCTAATATTTGCTGAGTTTTACTACATTCCACGTTCTGTTCTAGTGCTTTGCAAGTATTAACTCATTTGCTCCTCCCAACAACCTATGAGGTGGGGACTATTACTGTTCCCACTTTACAGGTGATCTGACCAAGGTCTAGAGCTAATAAGTAGTGGAGGCAGGAGCAGAACCTAGACTATCTGAGGTTTTAACCACTCTTCCCTGCTGTCTCCCTGGACATCACTGTGATGGAGCCAAGGAATGTCCAGGACACAGAGTACCCAGGAGGCCACGCACAGTCCAGCAGGCTAGAGTAGACAGTGTTTATGTGAGAAAGTGCATGTAGGTGGGACAGGAAAGCTAGGAGGTGATAAGTGAATGATAACTGGGAAAGAGTAAGTGATACGTGAAATATGATGGCTGAGGCCACTGAATTAAAAACTCTAAAAATCTAAGGTTTGGGTTATTCCTAATCCTTTGGGAGACAGAGACGACCCTCTTATCTAAAAGAAGGTAATCAGCAGAAATTATGTTCTTGTGAATGTTCTAACCGCTTTCCTCCAGCACTCACATTTCAATCACATTCCAGCTTAAAGAGATAAAGCAGGGTGGAGACACATATTTTTCTTCCTAAGAAGTGCTGAGAACAGAGGAAGAAGAAAAAAACGACCTCTGGCAAGTCACGCCAAAACCGAGAGGGCGAAAATCAAGATTATAGAGCCACAGGTCTGGGTGAGAAAGACACCTCCACAGAACACTAATTCATCTCATTTCCTACCAAGATTGCCATTTTTCTGCAAAATGGTATGTTCATTCTCACTGGAGATATATATATTTTTTAATGCATTAAGATGGGCAAAGTCTGGAAGGGATTATGTATAAGTGAAAAAGGTCATGTTATTAAAGTTTTCTGTAATATTGTTACATCATCCTTCCAATGAGATTGATCAAAGTGGGGGAAAGTTTTCAATTAGCTCCCTGGACACAG